ATGGATGCTTCTCTTTGCATCGGCTGGTCTCTTAGCATGTACTTTGCTGACCATCTTTCTATTCGGGCGAACTATGACGGGTATGGGGGAATTCAAGAGACAATACATTGACATGCTGCACCCCAGGCTTGCATCATGCCGCGCTGGCCTCTCGTGCCCACTACAATTGAGTCTAGGTGGTATTTTCCAAGCGTGTCGTGACAGAGAAGAGCTCTATGTAAAGCGTGGCAAAGCTACGCCCATCTTTGCATCCAGCCAATGAAAACAATTGGGGACTTCTGGATTTTCATGACAATGATAAATTTTCGGTCACCCAAAGTCGCTTCATTCGCAATGCATTCATGGTTGGGCTTCCCGCCTACGGTAAGCTAAAAATGAATAGGCGCACTGCTCTGCTTGTCTATAGACGTCGCCGTACGTCGTTCCTATGCTTAGATCAATATCTAGTTGGTTCATGAGATGGATATCATTTGCTCACAGAATGGCTACAGTAATTTTTTTACTTACCTTATGTTCATTGCTCTGTGTCTGTCGAGAAGTCAGCGACTGTTTTGGCGCTGCTATCACGTTAGGCACTGAATATCACTTAGATAGCTTCTTCAGGGGCAAATCGAGTTGAACCACACATTGAGCAGAAGGTAGACTTACATTCAGGCCTTAGAGATACAGGGTGACTATTGTACAACTGTCGCAGAAAAACAAACAAAAAAAATCTATCACGCTCGTGTGAGAGAGGGAGACATAGGAATACTCTTTATATTCTGCGTCTTCGCCCTCGTAAGCCTGCAATTTGAGGGATCACATGAGCGGGCGTATCGCAACATACAAAGGTCTGCTTACTCGTCGAAATGGGTGCCTCTCTTCGGATCGGCTCGTCTCTTTGCAAGTACTTTCCTGACCTTTCTTTCTGGGCGAACGACAATGATGGGCACGGGGGAATTTGAGAGACAATACTTTGAAACACTGCCCACACCTGGCGCGCCGAACGCCGCACCCCACGCTTGCATCATGCCACGCTGGCCTCTCGTGCCCACCACGATTGAGTCTGGGCGGTATAGAGCGATTAAGCGTTCAAGTGTTGTAGTGACTTTGCCAGCAATAAGCTCGACGATGATGGAGAGCTGCAACAAACACAATGAGATCGTATGCCGTAATGATAACGACCGCCTACCTTCCGCTCTGGATCGTACTCGATACACTTCTCCTGAATCTGGCGCATAAGTTCGCGAGCTTCCTCTCGAACGACTTCATGATCCTTCTCTAAGTTATGATTTAAGATTCGCAGAAGTCCACATAGTATGAGCCACCTACCCAAATCCTCCGGATCGACGCCTCTGAATACGATCAACTCATCCCCGTCCTGCACCAAGCTTTCTAGCGCCCAGTCAAGGGCGTAACGTCCGCTTTCATCTGGACTTGACGCACAAAGAAATACCCTTGTCGCTCTGCTCCTAGCGTATCCATCTGATTGCACGTGCAGTGTAAATGAGAACATGGAGGCAGCGGGGTTTTCGAATGTGTCAAACGACACTTTTGGCGTGTAACCCTGACCGGCGACAGGTTGAGCCGTGTTCTGCTGCATGTTCACTGACGGGGACCGCGAGTGCGATGTTGAAGAGGACAAGAGGGGTGGCAGTCGCGATGTCGATGCTGGTAGGGTGAGGAACGAAGAAGGAAGAGGGGACAACAGTGGCGACGACGGCGTGGAGGTTACCGGAAGCAAACAGGGCGAGTTCGGCTGGGATGCCTGCTTTAGTGCCGAGCGTAAGCATGAGATTGGAATATGAGTATGCTGTTCAGACATGGTGCGTGATAAAGTATTATTTACTAATTTTATTGATAAGTTGTTACATAGCCAACGTAACAGAAATAATAATCACATTATTAACTTTTACCTAACTTTGATCTCCAACTCTCATGTCGGCTTCCCGTTCAGTTAGTCCTACGGAGGAGAAAGATAGAGAGCAGGTTAATCAGCGCACGGAGGTGACACCTGAGTCCACTGGCGAGTCAACCCCCCCAGAGGAGTCTGCTGAACCTTCAGATACAGACCAGGACACCACAACCGCTCATGCTAGCTTCCCAACAGCGGGATCATGGCAAGCCATATGGTCTCCTCAGCACAACACCTATTATTTCTACAACTCAGAAACCAAAGAAACGACTTGGGTAAATCCCCTTCAACCCGCCACCTCTGAATCAGAACCTTCCTCGTCTTCCACCTCCCAATCTGGCCCTTCCACAACAATAGACTCTCACTACGCAGTGCTGCAAGCGAACGCGATGGCGCAGGGTATTGATCCATCCTTAGCCCATCTTGATCCGTCGCTTGCTTCCTCGTCTGGTGTTCCTAGCAATTTTATGTACACCGCAAAGTTCAACGCGAGGACTGGCGCTTTTGCGAAGGCGGATAGTCGCGATCCTACTCACTTGTCAGAGTATGAGCGTGCTAAGCGCATGAGCGAGTTCTACTTTGACGTTGGTGCTTGGGAGAGGGATGTCGAGGCTCGCAACAAGGCTGAGATTGAGGCCGAGGCCGAGGGAGAAGGCAAGAAGAGAAAACGTCCGACGAAGAAAGACCTGGTGAGATCCGACACATTGATTCCGTTCATATTGGTTGTTGATTTTGATTTTACAGGAGCGGTTCAAGGAACAGAAGAGATTAAAGAAGATCGCGAAGACGGCATGGTTTCGAACATAGGCACTTCACTTATTGTCATATTAGAAACCCAAATTCAAAGCAGTCTGGCAGCAGTAATTCCCTTAGTTATATGTAAAGAAAGCTCGTCAGCCGGATTGTCAGTATTCAATAGTACAAACATCTTGGGGTCCACGATAATAGGTAACTGCTGATAGCTACCACCTGGCAATATCAATATTAGCGTCCATGGGTACGTCCATTATTATGCCTCGTTTTTGACGATGCCCTACGTCGCGAATACACCTATGATTTTGAAAGGAGGAACACTTTGCCCCTCGTCTCCAAGTAGCACACAGTCGACAAAGTGTGATCCTCTCGTGACAAATTGATCAATCACAGCAAGACTTGAAGATCCATTAGTGACTGCACTCAAACGAAAATAAAACAAGACACTCACGTTGGTACCGCGTCACTAACGTCTCCTGCATTTTCTATAACCACCGCGCCTCCAAAATTATCATCCACCCAACACTCTATCTCACTTCCCTCCCCAATTCGACTCATAGGCTCCTTCAAGTAATAAATCCCGACATCTCCAGCGCCAACTTTGATAGGTACGCGCAACCTGCTTGTGGGCATCGAGCTATACCAGTAATATCCAGCCGTGATCAAAGGAGAGGATCCTGCTGGAGGATGCGCCGCTGCCCAACCAGACCCGTAGAAAAGCGAAGGAGGTACGGGGTTCACGAGGTCATTAGCAGACGCACAAAACGGTGCGACCTCTTCGAATGGTCGCGTCTCTTTGACGCGTGTATTGATTCGAACAGGAGGAATTCGCAGTTCGGGGTAGATTGGTACAGGCTGAGATTCTGCTTGGGCAAGAGCTAGTGCGTGTTTCTTCTCGGCTTCTGCACCGTCATCTACAGGGCGTGGCGGTTCAGGCACTGCGGCACCTTTCCTTGCGCCGATGCCACCAAAGAGATGCGTATCTGCACCTGGGAGGTAGCCATGTGACATCATGATAGGAATGGTCTCGAACGAGTGGCCACCCGCAGTTGACCATGCGGCACATATCTGAGATTGGAAGTACGATACGAGAACTTCGGTGAGAACTTCATGACCCGCCGAAGTCGCGAGGATGGGATCCGCATAGTAAGGTTTGATGAGGTCAGGGTTTGACATGTAAGACGGATAGAGTATGGGTTTAACGCTTTACATACGCGTCAGAAAATATTCTTTTGGCAAGTGACTAAATTGTACCTGATATGCGGCACGTCGTAGAATTGTGCGACAACATTGTGCCAGTGATCAGGTCCTGCAAATCCATATGCCTGATGTATCTGTGCACTAAAATGCCCCAGAATAATGACTGCAGGTTGATCAGGACGGTCCAATATCGAGCGAACCAGCAACTCGAAATGTTCCATCGCACGCCGGGTGCTAGTAGTAGTTAGACACCATATAACACTTCAGCTGGACATCTGTACTTACCCTTCATCGTCGACGTCAAATTCGAGTATCACCAAGTCGGTATTCTCTGGGATATGATGCGCGCTACAGAATCCAAAGTACCCTGAGTTTGTTCTCCTCATAGCACCGTTGGTAAGCTCTGAAGCTGGGTGAGGGAAAACTTTCGACCACCACTGGAAAAAGCGTGAAGGATAGCAAATAGAAGACAGTGGATCATCTCCTGCTGCGTGACATGCAGATACTACACAATGACACCATCAAGATAAGTTCTATTACGACATAAAGAACACGCACCAGAACCACCAAGCACACTGATAGTCACAGGTTGACCCAAAAGTGCTTTATGAATAACCCGATGTACCCTCCCCCCACTACCCAAATGCAACCGACTCTGCGCCAACGGCACCACCCCATACTTGTTCGCAATCTCGTCCTTGGGCCCAAACACAGGACAAAAGTCAAACGGGTTGGCAGCCTCGGATGAATTGCCGATAAGGTAGTTCGCCTCATGCAGGTAATTCTTTGGTACGAGGCCTTCTGTCGTAAATGACCCAGCGCGTGAATGGTTTGCAAAGGATATATACCGCGAGACCACGACGAGTAGAATGAATCCGAGGATGATGGCCCATATTCTATTGGTGACGCCTAGCCGCCTTTGATTCCACCTGTTAAAGTGTTTCGTAGGATCTGAGCCCATGCCCGTCAATCGGTGTTGATTGGGAGGCGAGATGCGTGCCAGAGCCTTGCCAGAGCCTGAGCGTCGTTGCATAAAACTGTTGAGACAAAAAGGAAAAAAATACCGTATAGCCTGCCGAAATACGAAGCAAAGGCAAGATGTCAATTTGGCTTAACTCCGCGTCAAGGTTGTGAGGAACAAGAGACAAAATAATGGACACTGTGGGAGTTGAACCCACGACCTCACGCAATCTAGTAATGCGAAGCGTGCGCGCTACCAACTGTGCCAAGTGCCCTTTACGACACAGAAGCTTGAATAACACTTCAAATGTCTAGGGCCCCTGATGGGCCTGCCATGACCGCTGTCTGACGTGAGTACTGGAAAGGTACGCGTGATCAAACCATGCTTGCTCCTGGACCACTCATCCTTTCAATCAAACGCAATGACTTAGCATTGACTGAAGTTCATCTCATGAGTGAGGTCTGTGTTCCACTCAGATCAATAAAAGTCGTAGCAAGACAACTGCAATGGGATGCCTCCGTAGGGATACATCATGCAAACCAAATAAGTCGACGCAATTAACCAAATTTTTGTCCATGTCATGTCCAAATGTCCGAACGCATCATAACTCGCTTGTCTCTCTGTGATGCTTCACCTTTACAGAATCTACATGCTGCGAACGGTCGGGCATGCGCTCCCAGATGGGATCTACATCGGGACCATCTATATCACCTGCGCCGTCCCACCCCCAACACCATACTGTATGACTCGTGAGTCGAGGAATAGAATCAAGAGCGTAGTACGTACCATGCGAAGGCCCGGGCACAAAATCTATCGCTTCGCTTTCCTCCGGCGTAAACAAACGATCGTGAGGACCAAACCACGACCGATCCTGTGGGTCTGTCCGTGGATTGTCCGGAAGTCCCCCAAGACGCACATAACCTCGGATGGCAGTGAGGTTCCGTCTTGAAGGATGTATGATATCAAACACTCTCTGCAAAAAATCAATCAACCCATCAGATATCAAATTCCACTTCAACCAAAAACATACTTTATCATATGCAAGCTTCACCCGCGGCACCATCAAAATACGTCCATATCCAGCCTCCCAGTAATCATTGCAGATCAAACTACATTCTGAAGCAGAACACTCCTCATCTGTGAGTCGAGCCATGCGGAATTTTATATATGGGGGTGTATAAAATGGAGCAGGGTCCAGGACTGCAACACCATTCCAACACGACTGGACCTGTATGGGAAGGTGCATCTGGAAACGGTCGGAGGAGTTGGGATCATGGAAAACACTTTCGAAAGGAGCGTTTTCCAGCGCTGTTCCATTGATATCGCGAGCGACCCAGTTATCATAAAACACCGGGGAGGCCTATATAAGAGTGTGGGAATGAGCTCGGGCTGTGAGTGCAATAATGGGACATACCAGTTCTTGATGATACATGTAGTCCGAAGCACAAGTTATACCTGCATTATTCCGTCGACTCTGCCAGATAAGCTCAAGCAGGTCATCTACGCATGGGAGGATATCGTTCATAAATATGATAGTATCGAAATATTCGTTATGTGAGTCACGGAGTTCGTGGAGTGGGTTTAAACGCCTGGTTGCGAACCTCTGCAAGGTACTCTATACGATGGTTGAAGGCACCTCGTGTACGTGTAGAGGTTCGAATGGTGACACGTAGGCCTACACTACGAGTCAGCGCGTCGAATATCCGGAGCAGCGCCTTCGTCTGGTCTGTCGAGCCATTTTCGTAAATGGAGACATAGACGTTGTGATATCCCAAAATAGCGGAGACCCGAAAAAGAGTCGCAAATAAGTCAGGAATGACATCGAAGGAGTTGTACAAGTTAATGGCAAAGAAATATTTGTGCTCTTTCTCCGGAACGCTGTGTACGTGTTGAGAGTCGGAAAACCCCAAAGAAGAGAACCAGGTGGATTCAGAAGGAGTTTTGTGTCCTATGAGAGAATCATAGCGGTCTCGGACCTGTTGAACGTAAAGCGGCTGGGAATTTCGCGTGCACTCTGTGGTATGGTGTGGAGACAGCGTGGAGAGCAGTTCAAGGACACGACGGCGCTGATCGATGCTGGGAAGGGTTATTTGTTTGCGAGCAGACAAGCGAGACACAAATATGGGATTGTTCCCGCCCGTTGACAAGAGCTACAAAACAATCAAAGCTTGTCATGATAGTAAGACGGTCAAAATATAGACAGACATACGCTTGTTGGAAGTGTCTTGCCAATTAACAAGCCCAGTAGCAGCCCAACCACAAGCGCCAAAGGAGTTGGCACCCGTTTTAACTGTAGCCAAAAAGTATTTTGTTGCATGGTGGATGTAGGAGATAGACGGTGACGTGCGACCCTGGAATATTAAATGTACTGCTCAATCGTCGATGTAGCCCATGAAAAGGGGCGTAGGCTTGGCGGCAATTCCTTGTGATCTGCAGAAGAAGGCCAACCTCGGAGGAGTGACGAATTGATGACGGTCTGAAGTACGCGAGTTCAACTTCAAATTGAGTCGGAGGCGAGCAAGACTTGGGCGCTTGCGCACACAAATTCAAATAAATTGCCTAACATGGCGACCAAGACTAAGTAGATGAATGACGAAGTTCAACGTTCAACTACGATAGATGGCTATATAACCCCATAAATCCTCCTCTAATCGGATCATATGCAAGAAATCAATCAGGTAATCGTGAGTTTATACTCAACGTTAACCTTCGAAACGCCGTGACAAGGACTATCGAGTCCTAATGCGCAAAGAATGCGAAAGAATAACGATAGTGAGACGACTTTATAATGATGCTGCTAGGACGGCAAAGGCTGCTGCACCAGTGAGTATGTTAATGCTATGCGATGATGCAGAGCTGGAGAACCTGGTTTTCGTTGAGTTTTTTATCGTGGAAAAATAAAATGAAAGAAAGACTGACGAAGACTTGGCCGTGGTATCGGTGCCGTCGGATGATGTGGTAGACGTTGCAGTAGCACTGGCAACGGTCAAGGTGACACCCTGCATTATACACTTTAGCACACATTCAAAAAAACAATGATATATATAACATACCACTGCAGCACAAAGCGATTGGGAAGCTGCTTCGGCATTTGTGAGGTCAGACCCCGTACATGATGTCTGAATACAGGACGTGGTGCTATTAATGAAAGCCTGGCTGTGGCAAAGACAACTGTCGTCGGTAGCAGAACAGTTGCCAAAGTCAGCATTCGTTAGACATGGAACAGCACAGTCTGACAATGAAGAGCTGTCAGATATCGTGACAAGGCGACAATGAAACAATAAGACATACTGGGCAGGCTTTGCCGTGTAAGCAATGCCGTACTAAACACTGACGAAACAGCGAAGGAGAGGGTAAGAACGACGACAGCAAAGCGCATTATTGTAGATTGAATGAAAGGTGAAGGAAGAAGGCTTGATGAACAAGGAGAATTCGAAGAGACCTTATATGAAAATACAGAATAATGTACATGGCAACAAAACAGAACAAGGGAAACAAAGAATCATGTAAATCCAGACAAAATGAAGACAGGAGTTCTATTTTTAGCGCTCAATACAAACCAATATTTGGTTCCGCATTGTTATACATATCACGTGCTTCGGCCATAACCGAAAAACTATCAAGTACCTCAGCCACTCAAACCTTATGTCATCACTACTAACCAAACACAACCAAAGTCAGCGCGACATCTGCAGTTCCAGTTAGACGAGCTCGTCACTCTATACATCCTCAAGACATGGTAAGTTGCATCCTTTTCACCTTCTGAGTAATTGATACGAACACTTTGTAGGCAAGGACAAAAAGCGGCAAAGTATGTTGCATCATGACCTTCATCCGTGATAGATCTTCACATCTTATCATAGACTGGCGGCAAGCGCTCCGCTCTTCAAGACGTTGTAACTCGTGAATACACCATCCATCTGCATAAGCTCGTGCATGGCCGCTCCTTCAAAAAGCGTGCCCCTTGGGCCGTAAAATCCGTCGTTGATTTCGCCCGCAAGTCGATGGGCACAACCGATGTTCGTTTGGACCCAAAGCTCAACCAGGCATTGTGGGCTCGGGGTGTCAAGAGCGTCCCCCACCGGATAAGAGTAAAGCTTGAGCGTACGTTCTGTATTTTCAAACTGATCATAATACTGACGGTCTATTTTTTACAGGCAAGCGTAATGATGATGAGGGCGCAAAGGAGAAACTTTACACGTACGCCAGCCATGTAGTTGTGACCTCGTTCAAGGTACGTATTCTCCCACTGCTATTTCTCCTGTCATCGACAACAACCTTTTTTCACCCAGGGCCTCCAAACCGCTGTTGTAGATGCAGAGTAAGGGCTGTCGTCGGAGGGTCCTGTGTAGTCTTTTTTCACATATTTCATGCCGCCATGCATCATCACACCCAGCACTATGCTACTCCGTCAAAACTTTCGCGCATATTGATGCTGTCCATGAATTTGAGTTCCTCTGAAACATCTCAAGCTAGTGTTCTCGCCCGCCCAGCTAGGCTCCGGTGCTGGCCTTCTGAAACACAACCCGAGGTGTGTTGGTTTATCTGAAGCAGATGGGTGGTGGAACCACCTTTGCGATAATGCGATGATATCTGCCTGGTCACTGTTAGGGCACTAGTCAAGTGTGATTACACACTCCCAGGAGCTATTTTGAATCTCCGTTAAGTGAATCTGCTTTTCACCTAACCAAGCCTAGTGATGAAGTGAAAGTGTCGGTTGTATCATCCTTTGCTCATTTAAACGTCATTCGTATCAACCTGGAGACTGACCTGGCCCTGGACTACCCACCTAGCCTTTATTCATCGGCTGCCGGTAGAACTTCTACAGGCTATATTGTTGCTTGTCGTCAACGATGGACCAGACTTTCCTATTATCTTCTCATTTGGGACAACCACCATGTCAGAAAAATTTGCTAGTCCGCCCCTACTCTTCACTCGGGTGTGCCGCCATTGGCGAAACGTTGCACATTCAACACCAGAGATCTGGTTGCACATCAAGGTCGTGCTTCACGGACTACTCGTCCATCCACTTGAGCTGTTCTTTCCTTCTCTACTCTGGTTCTGGCTTGCCCAGTCTGACAATCTGCCTCTCGCCATTTGCATAGAACACATACTTCTCCCCTCAAAACTACATTGATCCCATGATGGGGATTCTCGACTACTTGAGATTCTTCATGGTCAGACGAAGGCGTTGGGAAACCGTATTTGGCTACTCACCCGCATTCAATTCAAATGATTATCAGATCTTATCTAATTTAATGCACCAAATCTTTG